GAGAGAGAGAGAGAGAGAGAGAGAATTTTTTAGTTTTTGGTAGACACAACATCTTTATTTTATTTTTATGTGGTGCTGAGGATTGAACCTAGCGCCCCGTGCATGCCAGGCAAGCGTGCTACCGCTTGAGCCACATCCCCAGCCCAAGATGAATAGATTTTAATTTGACAAGAGAGGTTCAATGGTGCTTTCTTTCGGGGTGGAGAACCCAGAAGATAGAGTCTGATTGCAGATGGAGAGAAAGGTGGGGAGTTTGTTTGGAACAGTTTGAGTTGGAGTGATCTATGGGATACCCAGCAGGCAGCTGTGTATTCAGGGCTGCAGGTGAGTAACAGAAGTTGATAAAATATAGAAATAGGAGAAAACTCAGTTTTCTGCCAAGACAGTGGGGATCAGAAAATAAATGACAATCTGGGGCTGGAGTTGTGGCTCAGAGGCAGAGCACTCGTCTAGCATGTGCGAGGCCCTGGATTCAATCCTCAGCATCATATAAAAAAATAAATAAAATAAAGGTATTGTGAAAAAAATCTTTAAAAAAGAAAAAAAATAAATAAATGACAACCTGACATTCACAAAGCCCTAGCTTTGATCCCCAACACAACAAAAGAAATGACTAGAGATAAAAAGATAAATTACTGAGGCTCTTCCCCTTTCCACAGACACAAATACACTGGAGGTTTCTCTTAATAGCAGTTTTATTTGACTCAACAGTGAAACTCAGACTCAGACCCTACCCATCCCCACCATGGGATCATGACTGGAGCAGACTTGTCCTGGTACTCATCAGCCTCTTACCAAGACACAAAGAAATAAGTATATGTATCAGGTCAGGAAGAGGCTCAGCTAGTACTGGCCAGGTAGGACTTAGCTAGGAGACAGGGGTGGGGGGATTGGTGCCACCCCAGACACATGCAGAGGAGGGGAAACTCATTCAGGGCTAGTTTTAGGGTCCAGGCTTAGAGTAGGCCTAGAGCAGGAGCAGGGACCTTCCAGCCAAGGGGCTCAATAGCTGTGAGTGGAAGATTTGTCAAGCTCACTATGCTGCTCCTTCTGGGACTCTGTCACCACCTGCTGGGGGCAAGGTATACAAGGGGCAGAAGGTTCAGCACCATGCTCCTTAGGTTCCTGGGGTCCCGTGCCTAGTACAACCAGCTGAGGCCAGTTTATCCATCCCCCTTCTCTGTCTCCATCGCTTCCCCAGGAACCACTCATCCTCAATACTCTCAAGATCTATAGCCAGGCTGGGGTTTAGAAGTACCATGGGTACCTGGGACAGGGGATTTGTCTTACCTCCCCATCCCGGGTCTCAATTGTTCGGATTAGAACCATCTTCCGGCTGTGGATGTCCTGGGAAGGCTCCACCTCAGGCACTAGAGAAAGCAGGGAGAGGGATAGAAGGGAAATGACCTGGGGATTTCTCTTCTTTCAGGCTCTCACTCCCATTCCCAAGGGGGGGGGGTCTCTTCTTTCAGGCTCCCACTCCCATTCCCAAGGGTGGGTAAGGCATGTCAAGAGGAGTAGGGACCAGTATAAATCAGGACTCAGTAGTTTCCTGGAGAGAACTGATCCCTGAGCGGAGCTAGAACAAGAAAAGTCCAATCAGAGCACAAGAAGACCAAGGGAGGTACAGGCTGGAAGTCAGACGCAGAGGACTCACCAGTTGTCTTTAAACTTAAAGAAGCAAAGGAATGGATGGGCACGGAGATCCTGTGGACCAAGCGCACAGTCAGCGTGCTCTGCCCAGGCCATTCCCATCCCTCTACCTGCCAAGAGAATCACTCCCTGCTCCACCCCCAAAGCCCCACCCCTCACCGGCTTTCTTCGCCCTCCAGCAATTTCCGGTAGGTTGCTATCTCGATGTCCAGGGCCATCTTGACGTTCAGAAGCTCCTGGTACTCACGCAAGTGCCGCGCCATCTCTTCCTTTAACTGTCGCAGCTCCTCCTCAAGCCTCGCAGCCCCGGCTTGGTACCCACCTGCCTCCAGGGCGAACTGCTCCTCCAGCTCCCGCAGCTGTCTGAGCAGCGCCTCATTCTGCGGTGGAGAAGGAGAAAGGAGTCAGCCAGGGAATCCTTCATCCTTTGTCCGCCACTCTCCACCTTTGGCCCGGGAGTGCAGCTTTTTCTCACCGTGCCGCGCAGCCCGTCCACTTCGCATGTCAGGCTCTGGATCTGGCGTCGAGACTCGTTCATCTCCTGCTTGGCCTGGCGCAGGGCCTCATGGTTCCGGTTGGCAGCATCGGACAGGTCTGCATACTGCGGGGTGAAAGAGTAACCAGGGTTGGAGTGGGCTGGGACAAGTGACACTCCTCAGCGTCTCCCCTCCTCAGGCTCTTTCCTCCCACTTCCCCATCCTTCCACTCCCGCAGCTCTCCCACCTTGGATTTGTACCACTCCTCTGCTTCCTGCAGATTCTTTGCTGCGATGTTCTCATACTGCGCCCTGATGTCCCTCAGCGCCGCGGTCAGCTCTGGCTTCACCGTGGCCTCTACCTCCACCTGCTGCACCTGCTGACTCTCCATGCTCACCTGCAGGTCTCGCAGCTCCTATTCTCCAGGACAGACAAAGAATGAGCGAGCCTACAGTGCAAATCCGAGCTGGAGTGCGCAGTTCGCACCTAGATAAGAGAGGAAACACTTGAACAAATGGAATGGGGCTCCAGGTAGCGCAGAGCGCACAAGACTGCGCAACCTGCGCCCAGGCTGGTGCCAAACCAGCGGTCAAGTTCGGAGTGTAGTTCCAATGCATACCAACAGGTGGCGCAGGGGTGGGAATCCAAACCACCTGTAGAGCAAGTGATGAGTGGCAGCGTCTACCCAAGAAAATCTCACTTCTAATCTCCAGGGCGATTCCTCAACCCCACCCACTAATGTCCGCAGCTCCAACAAAGCCACTCCCAAACCTCCCCGGGTCACCTCCTCGTGCAGCTTCTTGAGGAACTCAATTTCATCCATCAGGGACTCAATCTTGCGCTCTAGTTCCAGGCGGGACAGGGTGGCATCGTCCACATCCTTTGTGGGGGTGGGAATGGGGGTTCAAGAGAAGGAGGGACTGTTCAGGACAAGGAAGGGCCGAGCCTTCCCTATCTGCCTCTGGAGGCGACTTGGTTGCCTTCCCACGCCAATGGGACCCTGGGCAAGCAAGTCAGCGACAGGAGTAGGGAAGCGGAACTCGACGTGAAGCCGAGGCTCACCTTGCGGAAGAACACGAGGTTGTGCTCCGCTTCCTCTCTTTTCCGCGTCTCTTCCTCCAACCTGATGTGTAGAATGTTTAGAGACTGAGCTTCAGGTACTTGTCCCAGCCCTCGCCCCAAACCGTGTCCCCCAGGATCCCTGTTATTACTGCCCAGGACTTCTAGGGAAGAGGCTGCCTGGTAGAATCTCCAGACTTTCTTTTCAAAGCTCTGAGAGCTGAGAAGAGGTCCCCTTAACACTCAGGGAAGGCATGGATATCCCCATCACCTCCCAGACCATTAGAACACAGGCGAGGATGCTGCCCGCACACACTCGGGTTGGCCCAGAGAACCACGCCCTTGGATTGCTGAAGAAGGGAGAGAGATACTGTCGCCTCGACGGCCGTCGCCCAGCCCCAGCCCTGCCCCCTGACCTCTGTTTGAGTGCCGCCAGATCCTCTGCAAGCCCGTCTCGTTCCACCTGCACCCGGTCGCGCTCACGGCCCAGCATCTCTAGCTCTCGCCGCAGCTCTCGCAGCTCTTGCTGGCACAGCTGGTCGGCGCGCGCTGGCTCCTGGCCCCGGGCCTGGCTCAACTCGCCGCGCAGGGCTGCATTCTGCTGCTCTAGAAAACGCACCTTCTCAATGAAGTTCGCGAAGCGGTCATTGAGCTCCTGTAGCTCTTGCTTCTCGTTGCTGCGAGTGGCCAGGAACTCCTGGTTGAGGGCCTCGGCCATGGAGAAGTCGAGGCGCTCTGAGGGCAGGCGCAGGGCCCCAGCTCGAGGGGCACGAAAGCTGCCCAGGCGCACCGAGGAACTTGGGGATGCCGAGCCCAGCAAGCGGCTGCTTGAGAAGCGCGAGCTGGACGAGTAGGAGAAGGCCCCGGGAGACAGTGAGGGTGGAGGCCCGAAGGTGCGGCGGTATGAGGTGGAGCTGATGCTGGCCCGGAGGCCCGACGGATGGTGGCTCATGACTGCTGGTGATCACCGCTCTCAGAGTTAGAACGGGGCGGAAAGGAGCCGCAGACAGCTGCCGGGCAGCTTTATAGCCCTGTGGTCCCCCGGAGGGGGGACGAGCAGCTCCTCCCACTGGCCTGAGGGCCTGCTATAGCTGGGCTGTGTGGGGAGGGGGACGCCCCACCCTGCGGAACTGGCGGCGGCGGCGCCGCTCCCTCCCCCGCCTGGGTGCGGGGCGCCCAGCCTACTTGATTCCCCCTGTTGCTGGAGCGGGTAGAAGCGGGAATGTGACTATAGACGGGGGTGGGGTGGGGTAGGGGTCAGTGCCTTCCAGCAAACATTCAAAGCTAGAGCCTAGGATGGGAAGTCTTGACTTGAATTGGGGTCCCTGCCCCGAATATTTGATAAAAATTATGGAATAGAAGGACCTGAGGTTAAAGGGCAAGCTTCTGGCACATGAATAATGAGGTTAGGTGGATGGAGAGCTGGCCTGGCCTGGGCCTCCACTTACTCCACTTGCTGGAAACAGGGCCATCCTTTCACCTGCTGCCTGCCGCTGCCTCCTTCACCATACCCAGAAGAAACACGGGACAGGAGAGCAGAAGCAGAGGGGGCTGGGGAAGGGCTGATCTCTCCCTATTCCCCAGGGCCCTGTGAAGGGCTAGTGATTGGCGCCAGCTCTGCAGCTAATGGACTGACCAACTCCCCTCACCCTCCCCCTATCCCTGCAGAGGTTGTCTGCTGCTGATGTTTCCACCTTAAAGACACAGCCCCAAACCTGAACCTAACCCAGGCTGCAACAGGGCCGGTACTTCACAGGGGCCTGAGGAGGGCTGGGCCCAGCTCTTGGAGGACATGTGCCAGCCAAAGCCTGAGAGCTATGTGGGCCTGAGATATGCTGTCTGCCTTTACTGGATTCTCCCTCTCCCCCGCCTCCCTACCAACTGCTGCTCAGTCATGGGCTTTACGGGAACCAGGGCAATTCCTAAGGTACCAAGGGGAGGGGGCTGAGGGGCAGCAGCTACTGCCAAGGCTGAACAGACTGGCCAGAACCGGTTTCCAGTATTGAGGAGTTACAGGTACCCAGGGATGGGCTGAGCTGGTGGGGATGGGGGAGACTGGGGAAAAGAGAAGGTGTCTAACCCCCCTCCCTCCCCACACCATCTAAAAAGGAGAGAAAAGGCCCTGGGCAGATCCATAAACAGATACATATGCATAGCCCCTATACATGTGTACACACATTATACACACAAATATGCAACCATACATTCCTTTACACACACACACACACACACACATACACACACACACACACACACACACACTAAGTTGGAGGGAAGGCTAATGTCTGGCCTTTGCATGTCACACAGCTTCCAGAATGCAGGCACAGGCTGCCTAGGAGTGGCCAGAGGCAGCTCCGATGGAATGGTCTGCTCTGCGGGATTCAGGGTGCTGAGGCCTGTTGGCTTGCCAGGAGCCAAGGGATTGCTGCTGCAGGGGATTCCCAGGCTCTCCAGAAAGACAGGTCCACCTCAGATTGGCCCTGAGGATGAGAGTTGGGTGTCTTGGGAAGCAGGCTTGGGGTTCTAGGCTGGATCCCTGGCTGGCCAGCTCCTCCATACTGCAGGACAGAGAACTCCCCCACTCCCTTTGTGTCCTCTGAGATGGGCCAGAGCCAACGCCCTGCTAGCTAGCTCACATCCCTACAGCCTTCCCCTGCTCTCCAGGCCCCTCCTTCCTTCCGGGCTATTAGTCTCTCCCTGCACAGCTGCCAGGTCTTTCTCCTTGATCTGGTTTGGTTGCCAGGGAAATGGGAAGAAGGAGGATGGGAGAAAGGGGACAGGATGGATAAACCATCCTAACTCCTAACTAACTGGGAGTTATCCCTGTGGTCTCATGAGAAGTCCTAACTTCTGGTTAGGTGCTTGGCAGGTGTGAGGAGGGGGCTGGGGAAACTTTGGTGCTTTCTGCCGCAGTCCTGGGCTCTGAGCCCCAGCAGCCATTGGTGAGAAGCCTCATCCACCCCATATTCAGCCCCACCCTCCAGGAACAAACTGGAAGCCAGCACTGCACCCTGTATTGAAGGGCAGGCAAGGCCTGGGGAGGACCAGCTCAAGTCCTGTCTGTAGGGAGCTGGTGGTAGACCTGGCCTCTGAAAGTACAGGGGACTCAAGCTGGGGAGTCCCTGGTGGAGTTCCTATCCCCTTTCTTGCTTAAGCCCCTCCTGCCCTCAGATGCCTCAGAGGAGAGGAGACCAGAGGGTCTTTCAGCAGGGCTCTGCCAGTTACTGAGTGAGGAAGACCAGAACCTGCAGGGGAAACTGCCAGGCAGAGGTGGCTCCTCTGCTTACTGAAAAGGAGCCAGGCCTGGGAGATTTTTTTTTTTTTTAAAGAGAGAGTGAGAGAGGAGAGAGAGAATTTTTAATATTTATTTTTTAGTTCTCGGCGGACACAACATCTTTGTTTGTATGTGGTGCTGAGGATCGAACCTGGGCCGCACGCATGCCAGGTGGGCCGCACGCATGCCAGGTGAGCGCGCTACTGCTTGAGCCACATCTCCAGCCCGGCCTGGGAGATCTTACAGCAGGAAGACAGGTGGGAAAAGTCATGGGTAAGAGCCAATCCAACTGCCACTCTTCCCCAGGTTCCCCTGCTCTCTATTGTACAAATTTAGGCTTCCCTCCATCTTTTTTTTCACCAGGGTGCTTAACCACTTAGCCACATTCCCAGTCATTTGTATATTTTATTTTGATACAGGGTTTCGCTAAATTGCTTAAGGCCTCACAAAGTTGCTGAATTTGGCTTTGAATTCATGATTCTCCTGTCTCAGCCTCCTGAGCTGCTGGGAATACAGGCCTGTGCCACCATGCCTGGCTTGTTCCTCCATCTCAACAAAATACAGATAACTGTAGCTTCTACCTTGTAGTATTAGGAAGATTAAATGAATAAATATATGGAAATGCTTAGGACACACATTGTAAAGGCTGCAAATATGAGCTACTTTTTTAAAAAATATATATTTATTTTTTAGTTGTAGTTGGACACAATGCCTTTATTTTATTTATTTTTATATGGTGCTGAGAATGGAACCCAGGGTCCTGCAAGTGCCAGGTGAGCGCTCTACCTTTGAGCCACAACCCCAGCCCCTGAGCTACATTTTTATTATTTTACTATTACTAATCTCCCAAGTAATATTGTCAGCCCCTAAGTGCAGTGAGGATCTGGGCTTCTGTTGGATTGTCTCAACTAGTGGCCAAAAGCAGTGCTGGACCTGAGATGGAAGGAGCCTATCGATGCCTGGCTGATGACTGGGGTCAGGGGTAGCCTCATCCTTCCTTAGTGTCCCAGAACTCTGAACATGATTGCTCAATTTGATAAGCTGTGTGTTTTGGGCTTTCATAAGTGGCTAAACCTCTATTCATCCCATTCTCTTTATCCATAAATGGAGATAATAATAATAGTACCTACCTCATAGAGTTGGGAGGATTTGATGAGTTATAATATGTGAAGCTCTTAGTACTCGGCCAGTAGTACATGCTGTATAAGCACCAGCCAGTATTATCACTACCCCTCCTTCTCCTGCTTCCCTTGGCTGCTCTGTTGAAGGCTCGGAAAGAAACAACCATTGAATACACATAGGGATTTTCAAGAAAGATGAACAACGAAGTTTAGGTTACTGCAAAAATACTACTAAATGATAGGCATGGACCCAAAGCTGGATAGGAGAGCAATATGGTTGGGTAGGTGGGACACTAAGTAAGCAGAGTCACCAGCTGGACTCCCTGGCAAGGCCAAAGCAATTGAAGGGGCCTACTGAGAAGGGAGGGAGTTGGATTCAGACAGCAGAATGCATGGGATTGTGATTTTGGGGGCAGGAGTATTTATGGATACAGTTTCCAGAGTGTTTCTAAGGGTGTGGGCTGCTGAGACACAGACAGAACGCTGGGAAAGGTCCTGGGAGAAGAAATCAGGCCACTAGTCTGGGTACTAACCAGCTATGTGACCCTAGGTGACTTACTTGTCCTCTCTAGCCTGTTTTTTGTTTGTTTATTTGTTTTAATTTGTAGAATAGAGACAATGAAGCCCTCCTAGAATGAGGCTCCCATGAGTCTCATAGTAGGTGTTCAATAACATTGATTGCCCTCTTCCCCTCCCATGTAACAGAGAGGACACAAGCACAAAGGAGCAATGATATATCCCTCATTGCTTATAACAAGTATTATCTGGGGTCCTGCTCCTTATTGAGGATTGGCTCACACCTCCACTCCACATACCAGGGAAAGGCTAGTGTCCTCCCCAAGATTCCTTTGCCAGCCAGGCCCTGTGTCATATACCTGTAGTTCCTGCTACTCTGGAAGCTGAAGCAGGAGGATCACAAGTTCAAGGCCAGCCTGGTCAATTTATCGAGACACTGTCTCAACATAAAATACAAAAAGGGCTGAGGTTATAGTTCAGTGGTAGCATGCCACTGGGAGCAATCCCTGGCAATAGGGGTGTTTCTGTCCCAGATTAGGAATTCAGCACTGTTCTTTGGTTCCTAAGGTCCCTTTTCCCCACCACTTAGGTAGGACTTGAGGTTCAGAGAGATGACGGTGTTTGTCTGGAGTTGCACGGTGCTTGTTTCTAGGAAATGAAGCCCTGAGCAGACCTGCTGATGTGCTGGGCTCTGGGATCCAAGTGGAGCTTCACCCATAAAGAATCCAGCTCCCCACTTTTCAGGAGTGATTCTCCAGCTCAGTGGATTGCAGGGTCCATACTGACAGAATAGCTTCAGTGGAATTCTTTCCCCATTATTTCCATTTGGGGGCATTAACCCTCCCAGTTAGGGAGTACCCTGGATACTTTTTCAATTTCATCTCTTCTCCTATTGGATTATTTAGTAATAACTAAGCTTCATAGATGCCAAGTATCATGGTAGGCATTTGACACCTTTATTACTTCCAGTCCTCACAATAACCCTATCATTTAGATACTATTCCCATTTTACAGAATACAATAGGAAGAAATTGAGGCACAAAAAGGTTAAGTAACTTGCTCAAAGTCACACAGCTAGTGAAATAGTTATTGATTAATATGTCTGACTTCCCATYCCCTAACAATATGATCTTTGAGGATAGCGATCAGATCTTACTTGCTTCTTGTGTTGTAGTGCAAATGTGAGGCACCTGAATCTCTTTCAGGTGGTGGTGAGCAAGATAAAGAGATGTGTTGCTGCCACCTGCTGGTCAGAGGCCAGAACAACGTGTCTGCCATCTGAATACATCTGTG